GCTGGCCTCGAACTCAAAAAGACCCCCCTGCCTCTGCCTCCCAAGTGCTGGGATTAAAGGATTGTGCCACCAATGCCCAGCTGAAAGAGAGAGTTTTAAAGATGGGTGATCATGGCACTCTCCTTTAATCCCAGCAGTTGGGAGCAGAGGCAGGTGGATCTCTGTGAGTTTGAAGCCAACCTGGTCTAAAGAAGTATTTCCAGATAGGTTCCAAAGCTACACAGAGAAACCTTGTCTCAGAAAACCAAAAGACAAAGGGGGTGGAGGGAAAAGCTTATCAATCCCAGTGTTTAAGATAGTTTTCCAAAATTACTACTTAGAAATACTCACTTCACTTAATTGCATTAAATAAATAAATACTATAAAGATCAAGTTAAATGATGTAAACATTTAGGACTCTTCTTGTAAATTCTCATTCTGCTTAGCACAATTGAAATGTAGTTCATGGTCTTGCTCAGAGAATAAAAATGTCTTAACTATGTAAGATAAAGTGAATAATATATCTTCAAAAGTCAGTCTATGGAACCTCTAACAGTAGAGCCAGTGTTTATCCCTAGAGCACAAATGGATTTTGGGAGCCCATTCCCTATGGTGGGGTACTAATGCAGCCCAGATATGGGAAGGAGGGCCTGAGCCCTCCCCCAAATGAAGTGAGGGACTTTGATGACCCAATGATCCAAGGTAGAGGGCCTCACAATCCCTGAATAGTGAGTAGGGATGTGCTGGAGGGTTGGTGGAGAGCAGGGGAGGATGGGAGGGCAAGGAAATGGGGGGATGGATATGTAAACAAGGGTGCTTCTAAAATAAATATTATTTTTTTAAAAAGCCAATAAATTGATCCTCCAAATTTATAGGCCACTTAACTAACACATTTTTCTTTTCCAGTTTCTCAGCCACTTTGGCAAGTGTTGGTTTCCCACTGAAGAGCAAACAAGTAATTTCTAACTGGGAGAGACACATAACACAAACAGGATACAAGAACACTGTGAAGCAGATGAGCAGATTCTGGGGGAGTGTAAACTCCAAGGCAAAGCTTATTTTTTTTGTATTACATCAGACTATGTGTGTTCTCTGGTATCATAGATCAAGCGTTTGCTCTATCCTTCAGTTTTTAAGTCCCCACCTACATGATTTCACAATGTCTCTTTTTAGCACAAGCTAAGCTTCAGGTGTGTACTTGAGGTTGATCTGAACAAGAGTGTCCCAAATATGCAAACTTTCCAGTTAAATGGAAAGATTTGTATGAATAATTGTTCAGCAAACAGCTGGAGATTTAGGATGTATTGCCTATAATGTTTAAAATGGTTTTCAGTGTATAGAAACTATATCTCACTTTATTCAAGTCTTACCAATACTCAGCATTATGTAATTTAAATTGTAACATTCATATTGTTACTGTTGCATTATAATGTATAATTCATACAGAGTTTTGAGTGAAGAACAAGATATCTTGAAAATAGATGTGGCTATTTTGGTAAGGACACTCATTGTTAAAGCTTAACAGTCAATATGCTCTATAAACATAGGTAAATATATGAACTTTTGTATAGTCATCAAACAGAATGAATTTATTTACATTAATAATATTAATTTAGTAATATTTTATGTATAATTTTAATCCAAGCCTTTGTAACTACAGGAGCAGCTGGTAATAAAATTATGTCTCTATATGCATGCATAAGAGTTAGTGAGATCAATGACTAATCCCAATTAGACCTTTTGTTATCTGATTGTCAATTTGTCAAATAATAAAATTTTG